GTGAAAGTGTTTATCTGTATTACTTCAAACATGTTACAGAATCTCTATGAAACGAGCATGTACTGACGATCCGACACGCCACAATCCATGACAAAATCGAAAGTTTGGGTGCTTTCAGAGCAATTTGCTCAAACGAGTTTAATCTGTCATAAGCGGTAACGATTCATTCCTACTTCATCGGATACTGAGGTAAAAGGGAACACAGTTCATCTTTCAAGGCAATTGAACAGCGAGCACCCAGCATTTGTCTGGCGAACTATGAAGGTCTACGGAATCTAGTTGATGAAGCCAGGGAACAGGCAAGATAACATGGGGATTAGGGAACAGGGACCAGGACACGGGGAACCGGGAACAGGACACTGGGACCCAGGACCAGGGATCGGGGAACCGGGAACAGGACACAAGGGACCATGAACAGGACACTGGGATCCAGGACCAGGACACGAGGAACCGGGACCAGGACACGAGGAACGGGAACAGGGCACGAGGAACCAGGAACAGGGAACTGGGAACAGGACACGAGGAACCGGGAACAGGACACGAGGAACCAGGAACAGGGAACTGGGAACAGGACACGAGGAACCGGGAACAGGACACGAGGGACCAGGAACAGGGAACTGGGATCCAGGACCAGGACACGAGGAACCGGGACCATGACACGAGGAACGGGAACAGGACACGAGGAACCAGGAACAGGGAACTGGGAACAGGACACGAGGAACCAGGAACAGGGAACTGGGAACAGGACACGAGGAACCAGGAACAGGGAACTGGGAACAGGACACGAGGAACCAGGAACAGGGAACTGGGAACAGGACACGAGGAACCAGGAACAGGGAACTGGGAACAGGACACGAGGAACCGGGAACAGGACACGAGGAACGGGAACAGGACACGGGAAGAGAGAACGCAAAATAGGACACGAGGACACGAGTAAACCACAAACAGGACACGGAGAAGAGGAAATCGGGAACGGAACACGAGGAGCGGGAACACAACACAGGGGATAGGGGAATTGATGACAGGCACGGGGAACGGTGGAACGGGGGAACAGGACGTGGGAATGGGGAACATGATACAGGGGAGCTGGATAAGCAAACCAGATGCCGGTGATCCGGGGAGGTAACAAAACCCCATAGAACGGGGAACGGGGAACATTGGACAGGAACCAGGACACGGAACACAGGACAAGAAAAACAGGGTCCAAGGCTCTTGACATAGGGGAAACAGAACAGGGTACGGTGAACGGGGGTAAGAGGATAAGAACAAGATAACAGGACATGAGAAAGGGAACGAACGACGGGGACCAGGGTCAGAGGGTACCGAGAACCTGAAACAGGACATGAAAAACAGGACATGTGAAACGTGGAACAAAGAACTGAGCAACGGATAGCGGGGACAAAGTCAGGATAAATCTACAACCGTGGCCCTGACTATATATGTGATGCTGCGGTCTCTTGAGCGAAGTCCGGCCTGTGAGTCTGTCCACTCGGACACTGGCCTCTCCGTCACTGTGTGTCCAGGGTGTGAGATGCTTCATGTTGGGATTATCAGCATATTTAATCTCTAGGCGGCTTAATCTCAACAAACTTCAATTTCGTGTGTCGAGACGATGTGTTTGCCTTTTGAAAATAATCAATTTACAGAGAGCTCGTTAGTTGACTTAGCAGCTTAAAGGGAATTTCCAAATTAGCAGTTTACTGTTAATGTTTAAGGGCGTTAAAACTCGCCAACAGCAGAGGAGTGAAGGGCGGGAACGGCGAGAAGACAGTAATAGGCCTCCTCGTTTGAGATTTGTGGAACAAAGGAGGCTTATAGCCAAAGTATGACAGAACATAGCCCTACACTAAATGAGGACGAGGCAATGATTCGCGACAATCCAGAATATCGGTTGTATTAAAGTAAGGTGAAATGGGGTTAAACGTCGCGTTCAAGATTACCGCACTTATATTGCGACGTGCATGCACGTGTGTTTGTTCCTGTTTGTACTAGTCCGGACTAATGTCGGTTTTATTGCGCTTGCCCACTGAGATACCATGCGACAGTTTAAAATGGATAATCCACGCAGACACAGTATACTGGCCAGAATACCCAGCAGATCTTGTTTTATCCAGTTAATGCCGAGCTCCAGGAGGGGTAACAACAAATACAATATTTTGACGTGTTTTGGCTTGACGTGAATGAGTGATTGAGTGAGTGATAGAGTGAGTGAGAGTGAGAGAGTAAGTTAGTGAGTGATTTTGACGATGCGTTGAGCAGTACCCAACTTATTTCACGGTCCAACATTTAAATGAGGGGAAAGCACAAAATGACGTAGGCCACTGACGTTCACCACGTTGACCAAACCCGAGAGCCTTGATGTAGAGCTGAAGAACCACGGAGCGGGTGTAGGATTCGAACTCACGACACACGGATCCTGACAGACACATGAACCGGAGGTACTGATATCGATGATATGAGTGAGTGAGTTGGGTTTAACGCCGCTTTTAACAGTATTCCAGTTATATCACGGCGTGTCAGCTTAATATGGGAGGAAAGCCCGAAGTGATGCAGGTCTCAGACGTTTACCACTTCGGTGAAACCCACGAGCACGGGTATGGTGCTGACAAACCTAGAAACATAATCGGGGCGAACCGGGATTCGAACCCACAATCATAGGTTTCTGGAGTGCCCACGGGACGCAACTCTGCACAGCGAATCGCGGCGCCTTAGACGACTGGGCCACCCGTGCCCCCTTGATGATATGGATCAGGGATGGAGTGAATAGGTTTTACGCCGGCTTTAGCAATATTCCAGCAATATCACGTCGGGCGACATCAGAAATAGCCTTCACAAACTGTACTCAAGTGGGAATCGAACCTGAACGGCGCAACGAGCAAACGCTTTAACCACAAGGCTACCAACCGCCCGCACTGGGGAGGATGATAGAGGAAGATAAGTACACGAGTACACAAGGATGCTGGTGATGACACCGACGTGGCTCGTCTATTGTGGTAAGAGTTGGCGTCGAGTCAACGTGTGTCCCCCACGAGGAGTACAGAGGGATGAACACGTGTGGGCGGGGACAGCCCTTGCCTCTAATACACACGGGACACACACAGGGAGGGGTGACGGGTTAACGGCTTGTGAGGCGAGAGATTGGAACAACAGTTGTTAGAGATGGCGCCTGCACAATTCAAATAGTGACCATCATGACAGAAGCCTTTACTTATGTTACTGGCCTGAACGTAAAAGAAAGATAAACATAGAAACATCTCACTGAGAATCAATATCACCTAATGGGTGGTGTGAAGGCGCTATTTTAAGGTGTTGTGTCGTTTTGTTTGTTGTTTAAAGCGCCGCCAGCAATATCCCAGCTATATGATAAAGGTTTGTGCATTATCGACTCTGAACAGACAATCCAGTGGTTGATAATATGAGCGACGCTCCACGTTGCCGGGTTACGATGACAAGCAGTCAACCAAGTCACTGATCACCCAATCGTCTTAGTGAGTGGGTGAGTAAGTATGGTTTTACGCCGCTTTTAGCAAATTCCAGCAATATCACGGCGGGGGACACCAGAAATGGGCTTCACACATTTTACCCATGTTGGGAATCGAGCTCGGGTCTCGGCGTGACGAGCGAACGCTTTAACCACGAGGCTACCCGACCGCCCCCAATCGTCTTACGATAAGCATGGATTGCTGGAGTCAAATTGTCATAAGACAGCTTACTTCCTTATTCAACATGACAAAATTACCGATACATAGCGAGTCTCATCTTCGGCACGCATCAAAAGATACGAGGGTAATATTCTATTCATCATCAAAATTATTCTGCCACCTTTCTTTAGTTTGTGACTAGTGTCTTGAGAGTAAAGGGCTCTGTTCCACAAAGCGATCTTAGCGCTAAGACGACCACAACTCCTATACTTTAACGCAGACATTCGACACTCGTAGCGCTGCGACAGCTTGGTGACACAGACCCCACTAATCAGCTTCAGTTGAGAGAGATAAAATTAGTGACATTTCCTTGTGACGTCGTGGTAACCGATGACATCACAATCGGCTGCAATGTCATGGTAACCGATGAAGATATCGCCTGAGAGATATCCCTTGATCTCAACAAAGCGATATCACCTGTGAAAACGTGTTTTGGATAGTATATAGTTTCTTTCCTTAGTGATATCAAATACGTTATACATGTAGAGCGTCTATAAATGTTTCAACAGAAAACCTGAAATGAGACATTCCCTTGGTTTTGACAATTCTTAAAAAAATACATTAAATTTCGCCTAAAATGGTTTCAACGCTGTTTTTAGTTCACGGCCAATATATTATAACCGAGAGTTGAGTTAAAGCCATACTTCATTGTTCCCTCAACAGAAGACAAGAAGGCAAGGTTCCCATCAGGACTCTAACGAGCAAACGCACATGTCACAAGGCCACCTTAGCGTATCTGACATGGAAACCTGCATTTAGTCGAGTCTGGACCAGGTAAACCAATGGTTGAAAGCATGAGCAATGATCCACGTCGTCAGAGTACGATAACAGGCCATCAATCAGGTCGTAAATTATTTTCACCTGATCCTGAGTTTAGTAAGTTCTTGGGGAGGATCTAATCTCATCCTGATTACAAGTGAGTGAGTGAGTATGGTTTTACGCATCTTTTAGAAATATTCCAGCAGTATCACGGCGGGGGACACCAGAAATTGGCTTCACACAATGTACCCATGTGGGGAATCGAACCCGGCCTATCGCGTGACGAGGGAACGCATTAACCACGTGGTTGATATAAGTAGATAAGTGTGATAGACAAGCTGATGACGTCACGGTGACTGAGTGAGTATGGCATAATGTCACAGTCTGAAAGGATCCAGCAATATCATAACGGGACTTTTGAGAAATCGGCTTCAAACATTGCGCTCACACACATATCAAACTCGGAACATTGGCGTGACAAGCGAACTTTTTAATCACTAGGCTATCCTATCGCCCTGACGTCATGATGAAGTTACTTACCGTCACTGGATGACGTCGACGTGGAGAAACTCCCCCTCCGTGACCTGAAACAAAGGAGATATCACACTTTAGAGAAGCAAAAGTGGTACAGTGATGTTGCGGGGATGTTGCGGGTGGTTGGGGGTGGTGCAGCTACGGTGTGGGGATGGTGCGGGGTTGAGGCGGGTACGGTGCGGGGTTGAGGCGGGTACGGTGCGGGGTTGGGGCGGGTACGGTGCGGGGATGGTGCGGGGTTGAGGCGGGTACGGTGCGGGGTTGAGGCGGGTACGGTGCGGGGTTGGGGCGGGTACGGTGCGGGGATGGTGCGGGGTTGAGGCGGGTACGGTGCGGGGTTGAGGCGGGTACGGTGCGGGGTTGAGGCGGGTACGGTGCGGGGTTGAGGCGGGTACGGTGCGGGGTTGGGGCGGGTACGGTGCGGGGATGGTGCGGGGTTGAGGCGGGTACGGTGCGGGGTTGAGGCGGGTACGGTGCGGGGTTGAGGCGGGTACGGTGCGGGGTTGGGGCGGGTACGGTGCGGGGATGGTGCGGGGTTGAGGCGGGTACGGTGCGGGGTTGGGGCGGGTACGGTGCGGGGATGCTATGGGTATGGTGCGGGGGTGATGCCGATACGGTGTGGGGCATTTGCGGCGATGTTGTGGGGGTGCTGCTGGGACGGTGCTGGGTCGATGCGCAGAAGTGTCCGGGATGCAGCAGGGATGGTGCAGGTAGGGTTACGGGGATGGTGCAGGGATGGTGATGGGACGGTTCGAGGTTTTCTTTTCACGAATCAGAACTTTTACTGAAGACGCCATACGTTTTGATCATACTTCCTACTTAAAGTTCCTGACATTCCCAGCATAAACTTGCCTCGCTTGCACAATATTACAACAATATTACAACAATATTACAACAATGACAGCGATTACACCGTGACCGTCTTTGTTAAGTTGGAGCTGTGATACAATTTTGTTATACCTCTATTAAGAATCTTGCAATTCCATTGGTTAATCCCTACCACGGTATAAAACATTACATTTCGATGCAGATCCCCACATCATGTCACTGACACTGACCACGGATATTGACTCGTCACATGATCAGCATTGACCTGTCACGCGATAAATATAGACTCGTCTGCTAGAAAACAAGATGGCGTCTGGTACGAACATTCCACGGCTAAGTTATTTTAATGAAACAGGGGATGGTTTAAAGTCTTCATAAACTTAAAGCGAATTTCGGTATAACAAAACGAATGATTACTCTTGACGAGGTCAGTATACGAAAACAAAGACCCTAGGACCCAACCCCTTCGACGGTCGGGCCCTCTGGTCCTTGTTTTCGTATATTGACCGAGTCAAGAGTAATTATTTGTATAGTATTAAACTCTCTTTATCCAAATAGTGGTTGTGTACTAGGTTATATTTCGTTCCCTTGCCTGTGTTTAGAACTCGAAGTCCGTGCCACGTGTATTGCCTTGTGATAGGTTTGCACAACAACATAATTCTGATGGAAAAAACGTCACTTATACAATAATCATTCCAGTTTATAATAAATACACCTTTTTTTATTTTAACAATGAAATAACAAAGTGCTGTGTGTAAGACCTGGCGTCTGCATGATACGTTAGAACGACAAAAGGCAGAATTTCTGCCGGGAATAACAGCTGTGGTACAAAAGGACAAACACCACACAGACAGGATGTTGATGATATTGCTGTACCATTCTTTATCATCGTTATTTATAGCATATTAATATTCTTTATGTTTCGATATCCATATCTACATTGTATTGATAACAAAATTGTACAATATTTATATTCGAAAAAAAAAGTTTAAAAAAGTTAGGAAACATGAATATTTTTGAGAATAGTTTTATTGAATTCTGGGCTCAGTCTTCACGACGAAAAAATTCCCCCCAAATTATCATGATCCCTTACTTCTTTTGTTCAGTATATAATATAAATTTCAGTGACAAGTGACATGTGTGTCGGTAATCCGAGGCTATGTACTATTTGTTATTTTATAACTGTCCAACTCCATAAATGTAGAGACCCGTGAAAATCCGGGGTAGAATAGGTCTCATGATATTAATTGCTGGATTTTCTGGTCCAGACTCGATTATTTACAGACCGCCGTCATATAGCTGGAATATTGCTGAGTGCGGCGTTAAACAACTAACCAACCAAGTTAATGCAATTAAACTGCACACGTCAGTTGTACTACGTGTAAAATGACAAAGGCGTATTTCGCAATGTGTTTATGAGCAATGCGTTATGTAACGGAATGTGCTATTGACCAAATCGTAACAGTATATAAAAGAAACAAAAGACAAAAGAAACTATACCTCTCTGTTGACTTTTTTGCATATGTTGTTTGATTGTCAATTGAAAACATCCTAGCTTAGCGATGTTATATTTAAAAAATGAACTGTACTGGCTCTTAGTCAGTACTCCAAGAATTAAACACAAACAGTCCGCATGATACACAACAGCTGATGGGTATCTTTGTCATCTTATCTTTGAAAGTCAATAAATTTACATTTTTGCACACATGTGCAACATATCAAACATGGTAGTGGGTCATGTGGTTGCAAATTCATTTCTTACCCAGAAAAAGATTACTTTTTACAAACTGTTATGGGGATTAGAGATGGTTAAATAGACATATTAAGACTTTTCAATGACATAAAAAACCGTTTTATATTGAAAACGTAATTTCTTTGTTCAAAGAGGAGTGTTACACTAACAATTAGTCACAGAAATAAAGTTATTTTAAATAAAGAATTTTATTTAAAAAATATATATATCTTAAAAAGAAAAAAATAATTCAAACGGAGCCCAGAACAATGCTTACTTTCACACTAGACTTGCCAAAACTAATGTAGACTTAAGTTGGATTCGATTTTAATTTATTATTGGGTCTGGTGGAGTGTTAGGGGAGTGTCACATGGAAACAATCCAAGCAGGGCGTATCTAAAGCCGTGTGTACCCAAGGATTAACGAAGTGTTGACCATGCCCCTGGGGTAAGATCAGCACCGCCGGCATAAACACTGCCGTGGTCATCGTCGCAGGTCATAGCACCTCTACACTACTGCAGCAATACGGGAAGCTGTTATAAACAAATATTATGGAAGTCTGATTAAGTTGTTGGGGAAACGCGACGCCGAAGTTGGCCACCACGTCGAGAAATCACTGGCTTTAGCGTAGACCCGTGGGAATGGCATTGGCTTTACTGATTGTAAAAGTATATTGTTCAATTCATTTCAAATCCTGTATTACCTCGGCGCGAATAGATGTTAAGTCGCCGCTGGGACTTTGTGTAATATTAACGAAATCACTGTCACGAATCAGTATTATAGCTATGTACAATTAGGTTCGTTTTTTGTGAAAGTCGGGTTTTGGTTATTTTGGAATTTCGGAGACAGTATCAGATGAATAATCTTAGTGCATTGTGGAATATTGTGATTAATCTCAATTCGGAAGATGTGGCATTTTCTGCTCAAATCAAACCTTTCATTTGCCACTCAACCAAAGGAATAGTTAATGGTACACATTGAAATACGCAATCAGGTGCGGAACGAAAAACTAATATATTATTTGTATCAAATGAACTTATTTGAGAGTCGATGACTGTGATAGGTGGAAACATCATGAAAATTCCTCTTCCACAAATAAATTCGGTTGACTGGTTCTGTCACGTCTGCATTGGTCGGGCGACATAAAGGCGGACTAAAACCATACGAACCACCATGACAAGCAAACACGTTGACAACAGAGCTACCAAACGTCTATCTGTTAAGATGACGTTTTCGAGTATATAAACTTATCGATCAAAGCGTAATCATTTATAACCACTACAAGCAGACACTCTCTCCCCGGCTCACTCTCTAATAATACTACCTTATGTTTCTCTCTCTCTCTCTCTCTCTCTCTCTCTCTCTCTCTCTCTCTCTCTCTCTTATTTATTATATGATAATCTGTTTCTGTCTCTCTAATTATATATATATGTCTCTCTCTCTCTCTCTCTCTAATTATGTATCGGTCAGTCTTTCTCTGCCTCTCTCTTATTTCATACACATTTCTCAGTTTTTCTCTATAATTCTCTCTCTCTCTCTCTCTCTCTCTCTCTCTCTCTCTCATGTGCATGCACGTCGCAATGTAACTGCAAGATCTTGAACGCGACGTTAACCCCATTCCACCTCGCCTCTTATTTGAAAGGAAAAACTGTGTGAACGTCCCCCTGGGTCTATTCTTGTCTGCACATACCTGAGAGGCGATTGATTTGTAGACTCATCCAACTTCCTAGCACCAGATTTAACAGGCATAGTACAACTATGTCCTTCCTCTGCCGCATAGCTTCTAGTCAGTTTGGTGACGGAGGCTTTACGACCACAAGGGAGCGCTCATGTCTCGTGTTACAGCCTCGTGCAGGGCAGTTAAGAATTTCAGTCACGCCATTTTGGAAGAAACTCTACATAGAAATACAAAGGATCATTGTTCGCTGCGCGTTCCTTGAAACCGATAAGCCGTTGCTCTACACAAGAGAGTGTGAGTGTGGGGTCTGGGCAATATTGGGTAATTGTTCGAAATACTGAATGGAATTTCGCACAGTATTTATTGGCCAGTTTACGTCGTTTGTGGAACGCCGTTTGTACTGAACACGCGACTACGGTAATCCATTCAGAGTACATGAACCCGCTCCATCACTAGTTCATTCATCTCAGTGTTCACACATACCAATTTGTGGTAGTTCTTTACAGTAAATCCGGTATTATTTTTGTCGCTATTTGACAGTGGTATCCCTCCCTGATATACCATGAATACCCGTTAATCTGGATATGAAGGGTCTGGATGAATGGATAACGCGGGGTAACGTCCCTTTGTGTGTGTGTGTGTGTGTGTGTGTGCATGCGTGCGTGCGTGCGTGTGTGGTTGTACCATTGCAAACAGCCCGTGAAGATCCGGGGTAGAAAATTAAAGGTCTTCAGCAACCTATGCTTGCCGTAAAAGGCGACTATGCATCATGAGCATCGATCTAGGCAATTGGGATACGATGACATGCACCA